CCCCAAAACCCCAAAACCCCAAAACCCCTAAGTTATATTGATTGAGAAATGATAATAATTAAAATGCTCCATAAAATATTAAAACATGGAAAATTATCTGCTAAACTCATTCATCAATAGCAGACTAGTTTAATTCTCTAATTTAAAGCAAGTAGTTATATATCTACTCCCATTAGTAAGGCTAAATGAGATCTTAAGTTATCATAGGATTCGCTGGCTCTAGGAACTATAACATGGATATAAAATCAGCTACGATGCAGATTGTCAGAGGACCTAAAAATCAGTAGATTTCTCAATAAATTGAGAAATTAGTCACTCCTACAGATGTGAGAGAGCTATATTACAATCTAGTGAACTAGTTTCAGTAAGTTATTCTAATTGTTTCATTGCGACAATTACTTTAGAGATCATCATTATGCCAATTTGCTGCAAAGAATCCAATAGATATTGACTCTATCGAAGTTAACTTCCTCTAAGAAATAATCTCTGTTTTTAATGCAAACAAAAATATAGGATAAGTTGATACATAGAGTTTAATACTTTGATTATGAAGACATGATCTTATTGATTAGAGTTCTTGGTAAAATGTTTGAACATCGTAGCAATGCTCTTTTTTGCCATTAAATTTTCGAACCAATTACAAAGAGAATCACAAGCTAGGACTTTGTGCAACTTATGAGAAGCTAATAAGACTATGAGAAGTTTTTAAGTCTACAAATATATATCAACTTAGTATTTAATGCTTAGTTAGTAGTCAATTAATTAGCAGATAAAACAATTGAGAATTGCTTTTATGAACTAGGTGCAGTCTTTTCTGAGGAGTTAAAACGAGGATATTTGAATCTACTTACTGACAACCCATAGAATTTACTTAGAGGTATTGAGGCCTTATCTAGGTTTAAATTTCACCAATCATCGATTATTAGAGAATTAATAAACAAACTAAAAGGAAATTTATAACACTATAATCATGTTTAACTAATTCATCTACTGAATTCTCTCTCTAATTTCTTAGTAGAAATTGATCCTAAGTTTGTTAGAACTATAGTACATTCCATTATTAAGGACATAGACAAGACAACAAATCAATAGATCGCTCAATTTCTAGATGCACTGCTGAATATCTAATATGATAGAGATATTTAATTAGGAGAAGCAGTAATTAGGGAAATGGAAAGAAGACAAGTACTCTTTATTGAAAGTGCTAAAACTAATTCTGAAGAAGAAAATAAGAATGCCAAGAAAGCAAACTATAAAAGTTAAGATGCAGATAAACCAGAGAAATTACAAACTTAAGAAGCAGTTAGGATATTAAGAGGAATATTTCAATTGGGCTATTCTGATCAATTTAATTAGTCCTTCATACTTTGGAGAATGTACTCTAACATGTTTTACAAGCAAATAGATTCAATATCGAATAATCAACTATAAGAGACTCACCAGGTTATTAGAATTATCCTTACTTAGCATTAAGAAAGTCCAATTAGATCAAGAATAGAATTAATTCATAATGCTACCAGAGACTAAATAATTAAGAGAGTGCAAAAGTTTAATTCGCACAAGCTCCTATTTATAATTTTGCTAGATTTAATCGGACATGACAGCTAGAAAATATTCATTGAGAATACAGAGTTCATTCAGAACGCTTTTAAATAATTTGTAATTAACATTGAGGACTTTAGATATGCACAAGACCTTCATCTGATAAATCATACTTTCCAGATTATTGACTAGAACTAGAAACAAACTATACTAAGTCATTAAATCAACAAAAGCTTTAAATTGCTGAAAGATCAGTTCTTAAATAAAAAGGACTATGAACCCACTTACCACAGACTCAATAAATAGATTTATCTATATCTACTTAATAGCATCAACAGCTAATTACCTGTTCAATCTATTCAATAAGATCAGTACTGGATTGACCTATAAAATGGCATTTAGAGTTTGTAAAAAATTGGACTTTATAAAAAATTATAAGATTAACTAGGGAGCGATATTTTTTTAGCTAATTAATACAAGTTTTAAAAGTTAGTCCTAGAGGATAAATTCAAAATATTGCCTGAGGAATACAATTATAACAAATTACTGTTGCCTCATCTCAAGAAATAGGGAAAAATTGAAAAGATAGAGCACATATTTAAAGACAAAAACATTGAGTATGAATTGAATAAAGTCATTGAATTAGATGGAGTAGAGTATTCATTTGATTTTTATCTCCCCTCTAGAAACTTTGTCTTAAAAATTTAGGACATCTACACCAAGCATAATCCAGACCCTAGATTCAGAGATCCTTACAGCATCATAGATTTAAATAACACAGCCATAAGAGGTGATCAAGAATTCAATAAAAAGGACAAAATTGTTGATTACCTAAATGAGCACTCAAATGTAAATCTTATAGATCAATACACCCTTAAATACCATTAAGGTCTTTCACTCAAATACATCGATCATAAAAAAGCAAAGCATTAGCCTGAATCTTTTATTGAAAACTTAATTAAATGAACTTAACTTATAATTGACTTTCTGCAAATTAATCCAAATAACTATTTTTTTGAAATTTTAAAGGTAATGTCGCTAAGGGGTTTTGGGGTTTTGGGGTTTTGGGG